GGGAGGATCAGTTTTGTGTATAAAATATCATTGTCAGTTTTACTTCAGGTTCATTTAAGTCAATCGCATTGCCTCGTTTGTAGCTTTCCATGCAGTTTATAATGCACATTTTGGCTTTTCAAAAGGCACATCTTTGCACCTTATATACCCATAAAAGATGCATATTAGTACATTAAGTGTACATATTCGTTCCTAAACGGTACATTTACTACATTTTAAAAGATGGACACAGAAAATCCACATGCTGTGAGCAGTAAACAGACGAAACACTGCAGAAACACACATTGTATTGAGATGCACTGATGCAGACGTTCATTAGCTGCCTCATGTCAAACAGATGGAAAAAGCCACCCGTCCCTCACATAGGCTTGATTCTTCACAGAGGTTCGTTTATGTCTGAGCTCTCTAATGAGTCAGCGTGTTTTGCTCATTCTCTCTCTTTGTTCTGCTGAGGTCGCGGTGGGGTCGCGGCCCCTCAGAGGTCATCAGTGCAGGGCACACACACCGGCCAACTCGGCTTTCACTCTGTGTGATTTGAGTCGGACACTTCAAGGAAGAATATCAGAGTTACTACTTAGCCTTAAAGGTCTTGCATGTCTGTCTGTCTGTCTTTCATCATTTACTCACCCTCATGTCGTTCCAAACCCATATTATGTTCCTGTTTGTTATATGAGCAACTCTTTTCCATGAGATCACAACATTAATATTTAATTTTGATAGCTTTTTTAAACAGATGCATGTTAAATATGTGCTGTTATTGACTAAAAATATTTAGTCTCATTTGAAATCAGTTTACTTTGAATATTCACTAAAGAGAACTAGCTCATAAGAGTCATTTGTTGTTGAATCGAGTTGTCGAGTTGTAGCCTGGGTTTTTGATTCACTAAAAAGAACCGATGAGAGAGTGAATCAAACTATCAAAGTCTCACGAGAGAGTGAATCAAATTACAGAAGTCACACTGTATGTTTGATTTACTAAAAAGAATTGGGTTAAAAGAGTCATTTGTTTATGAATCAGACTACACCGGTCGTGCTGATTGCTTTTGATTCACTAAAAAGAATCATAAGAATCATTTAAAGAGAATCAGACTGCACTCGTCAAGTTGTAGCCTATGCTTTTGATTCATTAAAAAGAAACGACTCATTACATTCTTTAGTTTGTGAATCAAACTGCAGAGGTCATGCTGTATGTTTGAATCACTAAAAGGAATTGGGTTAAAAGAGTCATTTGCTCATGCGTCAGACTACACCGGTCGTGCTGATTGTTTTGATTGACTAAAAAGAACCAGCTCATAAGAATAATTTAAGAGAACTGGACTGCACTCGTCAAGTTGTAGCCTATGTTTTTGATTCACTAAAATGAACTAAAATGAACCGACTCGTGAGAGTCATTAGCTTGAAAATCAAACTATTGTGGTCACACTGTATGTTGATTCACTAACCAGGTTAAAAGAGTCATCCAGGTCTCATTTGTGCCATTTTTTGTATTTTTTAATTAATAATTTTATTTTACTTTACTTTACTTTGGAGTGTAGAATATGATCTGTGGTTTAAATTTGTTATCCGTTCTTTGTACTTGTACTATTTTGGTACTATAATTACTATTTATTTTTTATTACTATTTATAATTACTACTATTTTTAGTTTTAACCAAAACACAACCTAACATTATTTATATATATATATATATACATTTGTATTTATTATTTATTTATTTATGTTCATGTTTTACGTATTCAGATGCCTTTTTATTTTATTTTGCCTTTTATGTACATCCATTCTTATAGGATATTTGTGTGCAGAATGTCAGTCTTTCTGTGATTTTCTTCCCTCATCATGTTTGTTACTCTCATGGAGTTCCACAGCAGCACAGATATGTGTGTACATGCACACAAACACACAGTCTGCAGTGAAATCTCATACATTCACCAACCTTAATAAATGTGCCCTTTGTTGACATGCATCCCAGCCTTTAGGAGACCGTCTGTTGCACAGATGTGCTCTCTCTCTCTCTCTCTCTCTCTATCTCTATCTATCTGTCTGTCTCTCACCCAAATGTTTGAGAACCTGACAGTGCAGTATGAGGCATTTTCTCAGGAGAAGAAGCACCAAAAGTCTCCATTTGCTCTCTGTATACTCTCGGAGAAACAATTAAGATATTAAATATATGTGATTTTTGATATTCTTTTCTATAAGTTTGTCGTGTAATGTGTGCAAGCCTTGTAATGTGTGTGTGTGTTAGTTGTTTATTGAGCAGACGCTGAAGGACTCACAGATCAGGAATGACTGGAATGTGAAGAGGAGGAGGAGAAAGAGAGAGAGCAAGAGAGGTTGAGTGGGAGCTTATGGATTTATGAGGTCGTTGTGGGAGCTGTTGTACTTTTGCGTGACACCAGCTTTGTTTCGGACCCTTGTGGACCCTCAGGGTGGACTGTGTGTGTGTGTGTGTGAGAGAGTTTCAGGTGGCCATGGCTCAGTTTACACTTTTGTGGAGTTGATATGAATGACCCCTCTGTAGCTCCGCCCCTGTGAACACAATGACCCCTCACATGGGCCTAATACATAACTCAACTCAGTTCAACCGACTGATAAGAGTCATGACGAATCAGACTACAGTTGTCACGCTGTATTGTTTGGATTCGCTAAAAGAAACCGGTTTATAGAGTAATATGTTTGTGAATCAGATTACGCTTGTGTTGTTTGTTAGGGTTAGGGTTTTTGTTTTTGTCCATGAGGAAAACCCAACGAGCCATTCAGAAGCAGTGCAGGAAACACAGAATCACATGTAGTAAACAAGTTATTTTAACAAATAAAATGGAGTGATAATTGCTGAAGTAAACATGAGTGTTGTTTGTTTATTTCAGGTCATTGTCAGGGAGTTGCCATGTCGTTGCGATGGCTCTGTGTGTTTTAAGTGCATTGCTATGCATAGTAGTGCTTTTTAGTACAAAGCTGTGCGGTTGCTAGGGTACTCTAGGTAGTTTTAGGGCGTTGCTATGTGTCATCATCATCGTAGAAGAAATCTTCACACATATACATTCGTGCAGCCTAAAGTGAGATCTCACACGATGCCTTTGAGAAGCTCTTGAAGCTAAAAACACGCCTGGCATCTCCATCGACAAAAACGCCTGCACTAAACTCACACGGGTCTCCTCTACTTAGAGTCTCAGAAGAGATCTGTCTCAATGTGCTCAGATATGCAGAGATCTCAATATGAGCTCACACTTTTCCCATCAAATGATCTCACGTTCATTTTAGAGCTTTATGCTCTTACTAGATTCACTTATGTTTTTATTTCTCCAAAGGAAGAGAGGAGAAAGTCTCCTAAAGACCAGCATCTGACCCTCTCATGCATCACGAGGTCATTTTCTCCATAAAACAGCAACAACCAGGTGTTTTTCGTTGGGTAAGAGGGCATTTAGGGGATCTGTAATTAGTGTATACTAATACTAGTAACCGGAGTCTTGCCGGATGAACGAGCCCTGTGATTTATGGGAGGTGTAAAGGCATATTCTATAAACATTGACACACAGACCAGCTGCTGCTCCTCTCTACGCCAGGCCTGCGCCATCATTCCCTTCACCTTCTCGTCCAGCGTGACCCGTCTGTCAGCAAAAGCATCACCACAAAAAAGATGAACAGTCATGTAGGGGAGGGCGGTGTGATATTTGTATCACTGTGCCCGATCGAAAACCCTGAAAGATAAGATCTCACAGCCTTGCTTTCACATTTACAAATGCAATTACGTTGAGCACAGGATCTTGTCGGATAAATTACCCAGCACACACACATATGAATGACTTGCTCTGTCGTTCCACTGCAGCCGATGAAGACGTGTGTTTGGGACAGTAATCATTCTTACTTTAGCTATGTACTCAAACTCACTGTCAACACATGCCTCAGCCCACCATGTGTTCAACAACATCAGTCGTGCAACAAACACACGTCATGTGTGACCTGCTTATCACATGTGACGAGTTGCAGGCTCAAGGTTAGAAAAATGTGAAGATTAGAAAAATATATTTGTTTATGCATTTATTTATAATTTTTAATGATTAAATATTAAATGTATTATTACATATATAAATATATATATATATCTAAGTGCCATCTGAAAATTTCTTCTAAAATTTGCATTTTTATCAGGCTCCTATGTTTAGGTTCAGGAATTTCACTTTAATGGCAATGTATAGGTCCTTTTCTATGCCATTAAAGTGAAATAAATGAAGCCTGGAATTGAACTGCTGGTTTCATCTGGCCAGAGGAGAACTGGCCCCCCGACTGAGCCTGGTTCCTCCCAAGGTTTTTTTTCCATTCTGTCACCGATGGAGTTTTGGTTCCTTGCCGCTGTCGCCTCTGGCTTGCTTAGTTGGGGACACTTCATTTCCAGCGATATCGTTGACTTGATTGCAAATGATTGCACAGATATTATTTAAACTGAACTGAGCTAGATGATGACATCACTGAATTCAATGATGAACTGCCTTTAACTGAAAAAATTGTGTTTACTATTGTCATTTTGCATTATTGACACACTATTTTCTTAATTATTGCTGTACAGTTGCTTTGACACAATCTGTATTGTTAAAAGCGCTATATAAATAAAGGTGACTTGACTTGACTTGACTTTAGGTAATGTATTCTGACTACTTTTTAGATCACTTTTTTTTTAATCTAACTTACAACTAAACGTACCATATTGATATAAAAAGCAAAGGGAAAGAAAATAAATTCAATTTTTGGATTTCAACATCATAAAATGCATTAAACATTACATTAAACCAGGGTTTCAAACTGGGCTTAGTGTAAGAACTGCAGTGGGTTTGTGAGTTGATAAAAAGTTAGTAATTAATGAAATCATAAAAATGTACATGAACACAAAAATTTAAATATTTAATTTGTTTACCTGCATGTCAATGTGACCATTAAGCGACATCGAACTGTAAATGCAAATGTGAATATTAACTTCCTCAGAGATATTTCAAGTAAATATCTCATGTCAAATGAGTTTGGCTGACAAAAACGTTAAAATAAATTTTTTTAATTATATATAAATATAAATATATATATATATATATATATACCCACACACACTATTATTTTTATGTATTTTATTATTTACTTGCACTTTCTTGGTTATTGTAAGGAAAAATATCTTCATGTCTTCTTGTCTTCATTATTTTTTATCAAAAAGTAACTGGCTCGATCCATCTATTCCGACACTTTTCATTTCAATCAATAATGATTTAATCAATATAAAACCAATTCTTGTAAAAGTAAAATTTCACGTTGACTGTAAACTTCTTTTCTGTTTGTTTTTTTCAGGACGGAATGAGCTGATTGCGCGATACATCAAGCTTCGAACGGGAAAGACACGGACCAGGAAACAGGTAGAGTTATCTAGATTCTTACACTGATTCAAATTCTAGAATATTTGGATAATTAAGTACATTCACTGCCTTGTTTTCCTTTAAAATGTCTGTACATACTTTAAAGCAAGGTCTAAATTTAACTGATAAATCTGTGATGGCAACTAGAGTTTAACCTGTCCCTACTAAAGCGTGGATTAAATTGGTTAATTACTTTTATTTGACCTTTGTGTCACACATTAACAGCAAGAGGAAGTACAGCAAATGTCAGACTGGGACTTAAAGATGGGCTTGTCCTGTTAAACTCCCAAACAGACTTTCACTGAGTGTAAATGTTTGGCCTCTGAGGGCCTCGATGCTGAAATGGACTTCAGCGGTGTGATTTATCGCACGCGGATCGGATATCGGTGGGTGTCTTCAGCACCTCTCTCAGTCCCGCTCGTTAGACCCACAAACAACTGCTCGCTCCCGGTCGTCCCATTACGATCGGGGCACATCACACGCTGCCGGGGAGGGGGTTTGGAATTTAATAGCTTTCCCGCCGGCATTCGATATCGCATGATGTCACTCAGGCCTTGTCACATACTGAGTCTTAAGCCCTCGGAAAGAGTCGAGGTGAGCTGGGGGCCCGGGAGGAAAAATAATAGCTAAAAACAAGAAGAGAAACTAGAAGCGCATCTGGTAAGTGGACAAATGGTCAAAGCAATCGCTGATTAGGTAAAGTTTTCCATGCATACTTCGTAATTTAAATTCTTTGTTTTGCACAACCTTGGTTAAAAATTACAGGGCAAATTCACTTGAGTTTTTCATTTTAAGTTAAGCTTCCCTTGTGAAATCAGATCATTTATTCAAGTTGTTCCAAACCTGTATGAATTTTTTTCTTCCGTTGAACATTTTGAAGAATGTTGGTAACCAGACAGTTTCTGGTCCCCATTGACTTCCATTGTTTTTTTTACCATACAATGGAAGTCAATGGGGACCAGAAACTGGAATAGTTCACCTGAAAATGAAAATTTGCTGAAAATGTCTTCACCCTCAGGCCATCCAAGATTAGGATGAGTTTGCTTCTTCATCAGATTTGGAGAAATGTAGCATTGCATCACTTGCTAAGCAATGGATCCTCTGCAGTGAATGGGTGCCGTCATAATGAGAGTCCAAACAGCAGATAAAAACATCTCAATAATCCACACCACTCCAGTCCATCAGTTACCATCTTGTGAAGCGAAAAGCTGCATGTTTTTAAGAAACAAATCCATCATTAAGACATTTTAACTTCAAATCGTTGCTTCCAGCTAAAACGCAAGTCCATAATCGATAATAACGCTTCCTCCAGTGACAAAGACATTTTGTCTGAATCAGGAAAGAAATCTCCACAGATGAAGCACTGTTCATTTGGATTTTGATGTGAGAGACAACAGGAGATGGACTTTTTCATTGGAGAAAGAATTATTATGGATTATGGCCTGAAATGACGTTTTAATGTTAAAACTTCTTAATGATGGATTCATTTCTTACAAACACGCAGCTTTTCTCTTCACTAGATGTTAACTGATGGACTGGAGGGGTGTGGATTATTGAGATGTTTTTATCAGCTGTTTGGACTCTCATTCTGACGGCACCCATTCACTGCAGAGCAAGTGATGCAATGCTACATTTCTCCAAATCTGATGAAGAAACAAACTCATCTACATCTTGGATGGCCTGAGGGTGAGCACATTTTCAGGAAATGTTTATTTTGGGTGAACTATTCCTTTAAAAAATAAATGATTATTAATTTTAAACGATAAGATAAGCTGGGCTAAAATCTTGTGTGTTTTCTGCAGGTCTCCAGTCACATTCAGGTGTTGGCACGACGGAAAGCTCGGGAAATTCAGGTGAAACTCAAGGTAGCTAATGAACTCTGCTAATGCTGATCACCTCTTTGCAAATTAGCACCATTATCGCTTTACAGTCAATGCATTTGTTAATGATGCAAAGAGAGGCTCGAATGCTGGATAATTGCATTAATCTGTGAGTGAATATAGCCTAGGCATGATTCAGATACAAATATAATTGCAAGCAATTTCATACACTACGCTATAAATCAATTTCAGCACGTCGCTAATTTTCAGAAAACGTGTGACCTCTGGCTGTACAAGGGCTTAGCAGACAGCTCAGTAATATCGAGTCTTCTTCTTGCGCACTCCTGTCTTTCATCATATGGCATAGTTCACCCGTTGGCCATCGGCCATCTTGGCCCAGCTGTCTGAGTGTGGTTCTGGTCACACGGCTAACACTGACAGCCCTTTTAAATACGTTTCTGTAACTGAGAACTGTTACGGACTCACACATGCCCATATTTCAGCCTGCAGCGTTTGCCAGATCTGGGCTGAAGAATGCATCGGCTGGCCATGCTTCATTGTCCGACATGAGTTGTCTGATTCATTTTAGTGAATCAGTTCATTCTTATGAACAAGTAAAAAAAAAAGCAATTCACTGATGCACTGATGTGTTGCAGTTCTTTTAGTTAAACATATATTATATTCAGATATATTTATTTTTAATAGTTATGCTTATTTTTCAAACTGAGGCTCTAATAAAATGCGCTCAGCTAAAATGTCCACTCTTTCTCATTTAAAATGTTCAGAATCAAAAGACAGATTTGTTTTAGTGAATCAGTTTGTTTGTTCATCTAAATGAACCATTGAAAAGGGATTCTTCAGTTGACTGATTCTCTCTACAGTACGTTCTGTTTTCTGTTCTGTTCTAAACTGTTCCTCACTGCTTATATGAGGTTTTCTTCTATTGGTTGTATTTAGTGTACATTTATAGTTATATTTCACTCGCTGTATTTAGCATCTTTTTCTTAGTAGTTTCTTTTTTTTTAAAACTAGCTTTACAGTAGTTAAATTACAGTTATTAGTAGCTTGTAACTATTATCTTTCTCAACACTGAACTTGCAAATGCATTGGTTGCATGACGGATTTGACTTCTTGTTTGAGGCGTTTCACATCCACGTCCAGCAGATCCCAGGCGTTCCTAGTTCTCAGACTGTTGTTGATTTTCTTACTTCAGCAGCTAATCCCAGGCTCAGTAAACGTGGTTTGGAGCAGCAGGTAAAGGGGAGCTGTGCCTCCACACACGCTGCTTTTCCAAGCGTGGTCTCCTGTTTCATAATGTTGGAGCTCCCAGTTCTTCATTTGACCTCTATAGGAGAAGGAGTCAACCTGTCAACAGCACTCAAACGCTGCCAGAGCCATAAACCACCTTCAGCCTTTCCACAGCAGCACACACACACGCACGCACGCACGCACACACACACACACACTCTCACACGCACACACACACTCACTCACACACACACACACACACACACACACACACACACAC